CCTTTTTGTTTTCATTTTCATTTAATTCTGCCCTAATTTTGCTTATGCCTTTCCTTCTGCTGGGTTTGGGGTTGGAATGTTCTTTGTTTCCAGTTGTTTGAGATGATCCATGAAGTTGTTGGCTTCCTCTCTTTCTGTTTTCTTGATGAAGGCTTCCAGTGCTATAAATCTGCTTCTTAGGACTGCCTTTGCAGTATCACACAGGTTTTGATAATTTGTGTCTTCGTTATCATTTTGTTCCCCAAATTTGGTGATTTCTTCTTAATTTCGTCTTTGACCCAGCTATCATTCAGCCTAAGATTATTTAGTTTCCATGACTTTAAGTATGAGGATTCCTGTTGCTGTTGAGTTCAACTTTTGTTCCATGGTGGTCCGAGAAGATACAAGGAATAATTTCTACACTTTTAAATTTGCTGAGGTTAGACTTGTGTCCTAGGATATGATCTACTTTGAAGGATGACCCATGCACTGATGAGAAGAATGTATATTCAGTTTCTTGGGGTGAAGTGTTCTGTAGAGGTCTATAAAGTCCATTTGTTCTAGGGTCAGGTTTAAGTCTAATATTTCTCTAATATTTCTTTGTTTAGTTTCTTCTTGTAGGATCTATCCAAAACTGTCAAAGGAGTGTTAAAATCTCCAACTATTATAGTGCAGGAAGATATCAAGTTGTTCATATTCATTAGGGTCTGCTTTATGAATTGAGGAGCATTCTGGCAGGGTGCATAAAGGTTAATTATTGAAATCTCTTCATGTTGGGTATTTCCCTTGACAAATATGTAGTGATATTCCTTATCTTTCTTTTTTCTTTGTTGATGACCATCTTCTTCTGTCTTGACACATTTCAGCTGAGAGATCTGCAGTCATTCGTGTACTTCTCCCTTTGTAGGTGATGCTTTTCTTACGTGTGGCTGCTTGCAGAATTTTATTCTTCATTTTAACTTTGGCAAAGTTAATCACAATGTGTGTAGGAGATGCTTTATTTGGATTGAGTCTTACTGGGGTTCTAAAACTGTCTGCTATCTGAAGTTCTGTATCCCTTGCAATGTTTGGGAAATTCTCCTCCAAAATCTCCTGGATTAGAGCATCTGTACCTTTAGGACCATCCTCTTCTCCTTCAGGAATTCCTATAAGACGAATGTTTGATCTTTTGGAGTGATCCCATGACTCTCTCAGGGAATGATTAGCTTTTGTTCTTCATTTGTCTGCCTCTCTGAGTGTTTGGGAATGTTCAAAAGCTTTGTCTACAGTTTCAGAGTTCCTTTCTTCTGTCTGATCAACTTTGGTCAACTCAGGGATTCTATTGTATTTTGGAGCTCCTCAACTAACTTTTTCATTTCCTTGAGCTCTGGTATCTCTTTTCTCATTATGTCCATGTCTTTGGTGACTTGGGCTTTGAATTCATTAAAGTTGTCTTGAGACAACTTTAGAACTACTCTTTGGAATTCAATTTCCATCTTTTCTTCCATTCTATTTATCTTATTTGCAATCCATATTCTGAATTCAATTTCTGACATTGCTTCCATTTGTCTGTGCATGTCATTTTCAGTTGTATCTCCTTTGTCATTTCTTGGCGGTGGGGGGGGGGTTGATCTACTCTGGTTATTCATGTTGCCAGAGTTCTTCGGTTGGGTCTGCACCATGTTTATTTTCTACTGTTTGGTTATTAGAACTAGTAGGGTGATACTGATTTGGGGTTCTCAGGTAGTAGAGATAGCTCCTTACCAAAGCGCTAGGCTTTGTAATTGTGGCTTATCTACTACAGCCTTACAAAGGCTCCTTTCAGAGTTTTGGCCGGAGACTCTGAGGACCTACTTGGTGAGATAGCACAAGCTAGCTCTATTTTGATATCAGCCAACCTCTACTCTATCCTAAGAAACCACAGTATTAGGTTTAAATCTCGACTGTGAAGAGATACAAATAGCTGTGGCACCCAGGCCCCAGCCTTTAGTTCTTTTCCACTATAGAACTTTGAAGGTCAACCTCAGAATGCCCCTGAGTGGACAGCACTGGATATAAACTCCAATTAAATTATCTCAGGCAGTGCAAACCCTGCTCAACAGGTAGAGGTTCAAGGGTCTCTAACAGCACTTTTGGAGCCAGGGATCCACACTCCCACCCATCAGACTCAGTCCACACTGTTGTCCGCTTCTCTGCTCACAGGCCCAGTTGGAGCCAAGGGCCACGCCCTAGCCCACCTATCTCAGTCCACACCCAGCTAGCTTTTCCTTGCCAGATGAATTGGAGTCAGCGACCACGCTTCTGCCTGCCAGTCTCAGTCCACTGCCTGGCAAGCCTCTGTTTGCAGGCTCTATTAGAGTCAGGGCACCGCACCCCACATGCAGGTCTCAGTCTTCACCTGGTAAGCCTGTGCTCACCAGCCTCACTAGAGATGGGACCACACCCTAGCCCTCAGGTCTTGGTTCACACCCAGCAAGGCACTGCTAGAGCGTTCTGTTGGAATCAGGGGACTGCGCCCTTACTCTCAGGTCTCAGTCCAGGCAAGCCTCTGCTCGCAGGCCCAGCAGGGGCTGGAGACCAACCTTGCCTGCCAAACTCAGTCCACACAGGGCAACCACTGTCCCAGCAGAGCCTGGGAGTTCTGCACCCTGTCCCGCCAGACATCACCCAAATCGAGGGTGAACACCACCACTGGCCAGGGTACTGCTTCTCCTCTCACCAAGTTTCCCTTTCTTCCTATACCCTCTTTCTTCCCCATTAGTCACATATTCTGTCCTGATGGTTGGCAGTCCACACTATGCCCAGATCTCTCAGAACAAGACCAAACACTGCTCTGCAGGGGGCAGAACTTCAGACCACCGTGTGAGGGGGAAAGCGTGGAGTGGGTGTTTGGACTTGTGGGGGAAAATTTCTGTTCAATTTTATGCCTGGCAGGGTAGTGTCTAGGTTCATAAGTGGGACCTCCCTGGAGAAAGAGACCTGGAGTTTAGCGGCTCTCTCCAGTGCGGTAAATGAGAGGTCTTTTGTTCCCTGCTCATTCGCAGATAGCTTGTGGCAGGCCCCCTGCTTGGGGGACGGGTTCTCCCATCGATAGGCTTTATACCTGTAATTTGGTTTTTTTTTTTTTTGAATGCTCTTCCTTGGAGTTACAGCTTGCTGAACTACTTTCTTGGCTCAACTCCCTACCTTTGGCTTCATAGAGTCCGATTCCGTCCAGTTTTTCTTCCTCTGCTCAGGAGCCTGTGCTGAGGGTTGCTACCAGTCAGCCATCTTCCCAGAATCAAAGTCAGAATTCTTGACCCAGTAAGGAAACCCCCACCTCAGTTTGGCTGCCCACCTTCTCTTTGCTAATGTATCAAAGGCAGCTCGTAGTGCCTCTCAGCCTGGCCTCCTGGCTGTTCCTTGCTGGCCCTGGGTCATTGTTTGTCAGGTCATTACCCTGTTCTTCCTTCCTGTTCAAACACTGCTCATCCCTCTAGGGCTGGTTCAAGTTCTCAATCCACCAAATCCTCCTCTGGTGTTAGGTAAGCAACACTTCTTTCCTCTCTCCCTCTGTCCCCAACACTGTTGGCACTCCAATAGCACCTCTTCCTTTCTCCTTCCATGATATCCTAACATATTTATTGCATAAGAATATTGGTCTACCCTGTAATAAGACTTAATTGAGAGTAGTGGAATTAACAACAGTGATAGAAAGCAGAGACCAAGGAGAGCAGTTTAATTTTAGGCAATCTTATGAAAGACAAGGAGCAAGATCTCTAAAGCAGAATTAGTTTTATTGATCCTCTTATTCTCTGTGGGCCAGGTTTTCCTATTTGGATAGAAAAGGAACTCTTGTTGTCTTTAAATTTGCTAAGTGAGATAGATACTGTTCTCTAGCCTTTATTACCTTGGTAGTTTAAGGAAGAGCAGTACATTTTTATAAAGGCTAGTAGGAAGGTAAATCCCCTTATTTTTTACATTATTATCAGAGGTACTAAATGAAGTCTGACAGCTAGAGAATGAGTGTCTGCCCCTGAGAATTGATTTATTCCCTACCCTACATACATTGGAAAGGAGGGGACTGTACGTACATGAACAGCACTGCCTGGCTTTCTGTTGGGTCTATCCTTGGATAATAATGTGCTGTGATCAGAAATGATTTCTTAGTGTGACCTGGACGGAATCTGTAGGCATTCGAAGTCATCCTGCTTTTACTATGTATAGTTTAAGTTTAAATCATTTTCAATAAAGTTATTCCAGAAAGAATGATCAGAGATACAGACATTTTTAAGAAACAAATTTAAACAGCAGTTATGCTTGCATTTTACAGAAACAAAATGGCTGGAATGGTTGAGAAAATCAAGAATGAAAGAAGAAAGGCAATCAAAGAGGTTATTGCCTCAGGGGAAAGTATTTGAATAGAATTCTGTCTTATTAATTTGGAAGAAAAGGAAGGAAATGGTGGGGTATGGAGGGCTCCAGACTTACCAGTCCTGCAGTTTTAGAACTCAGAAAGAGATAAAGAAGAGCAGGAGTTAATACAGCATGGCAAGCAGTATTTGAGTGTTACTTGCATAAGTGGAATAGTTAGACTCTAAAGGCCATCTCATGTCAGATTGACTGTGTTGTTCTACAGCAGATTAAATAAATAGTAGTGTCATCCACTTCACCTTTGAAATTAACTATGCATCTCCTAGAACTGATTATCCTTTTTTTTCTGCTTATGCTCAATAAAAATGGGTGCAATTGCCATTTTAATTACAAAGGGAAAGTTTCATTTTTCATTAGATTCACTTTAGGAGATTTGAATGTCTTATTAATTCAGATAGTCTCAGCTATTACAATTGCTTTGATTAACTGTTAGTTTAATCCCCTAAAGTTAGTTGATACATGGATTACTCTTATAAGACCTATATTCTATTTTATTTCCTGACTTTGCAGTCTGCTATTCCATGGGTTCTGATAGTCTGAATATTCCATGTTTCTGTTTTTTAAGTTTTTTCCTCCTTTCTTCTGTTATCCATTGTCTGGTTTGTACAATGATTAATTTGTGTTTACAGGGTGGCTGTGTGGACTCCACCAACCAAAGCCTGGCTCTACTGCTCATGACCCTTGGACAGCAGGACGTTTCCAAAGTCCTGCTAGGACCACTCTCTCCCTACACGTAAGTTGTTTTCTTTCAACCTCTTTATTCTGTCCAGTTTAATTTTCTAATTGCACAAAATGGCAAAGGTGTTGTGCAGTGCCCAGTTTATCCCAGTGAAGGCCTGCTTGTGCTGATCCTTAAATGAGCCAGCACTTGTCACTCTTAACCTGGTCTTTCTTTTTATACAGAAGAATTCTTGCCTTTCTTTCTGTCCTCATTCCTGTCATCACCGTGTAACTCCAACTGTACGGTAATCTTCTGGGCAGTTCTTATGTCTTTGCTTTAGTGTTTCCACTTTGAAGGTAAACGGCTGGTTCTGCATAGCTTAGATTTTGTTGTTAGGTTTGGTAAGTGCTTTTTTTCTTAACAGTATCACTTGCTGTGGCATAATAGATGGGTGTTTTTATCCAAGATGATTGGGTATGAGCTGGCTGGGAAAGAAGAAAGGCAGAATTTGTAGTAATACTACTGGACTAGTAGGAAAATGGTAGAAGTGAGTTTGGGCCCTTGGATGTTAGCAGAAGTTGACTGTGGCAATAGAAAAGCAAGCGCTCTCCAAATAAAACAGCTCACCAGAAAATTTGAATTATAAACAGCACAGTGACTAGATTTCCCATCTATCATAACTGAGGTTGCTGAAAATGGTCTATTTTGTTTGTACATGTGCATAAGGCCATCTGTGGGTGGTGAGCTGGGTGGGAGGAATGCTCAGGTAGAAATGAGACTGAACTGTCCTTTTTCGGTTATCATGGTACCGATGCTGTGTATCTGAAAGGTACAGTACTGTGATAACTGAAGAATGGTGGTGCCATCACGTTGAGAAAGGGATTATGTGCCAGTGCAGCTTTGGGCCATGACTTTGAAGCATTGAAACCAAGAGCTTGGCTTGGTGCCTGTGGCTCAAGTGGCTAAGGCGCCGGCCACGTACACCTGAACTGGTGGGTTCGAATCCAACCTGGGCCTGCCAAACAAATGATGGCTGCAACCAAAAAATAGCCGGGCATTGTGGTGGGCGCCTGTAGTCCCAGCTACTTGGGAGGTGGAGGCAGGAGACTCACTTGAGCCCAGGAGTTGGAGGTTACTGTGAGCTGTGATGCCACAGCATTCTACCCAGGGTGAAAGCTTGAGGCTCTATCTCACCAAAAAAAGAAAAGAAAAGAAACCAAGAGCTCCAGAGAGTCTTCTAAAGGGTTTTGTTTGTTTGTTTGTTTTTTGGTGGTGGGAGGTTCTTTTGGACCAGGAAAATGGAGGAGAACACATTCCGTTAGCAATGGAGTGAGATGATAAACAGGAAACTTAGGGACCACATTATCTCCTGATAACTTGTGTAAACGATTTCAAAGGACAGGAAGCCTAAAATTGAGTAATTTTAATTGGCATGCTGACATCAGTAGTCAACATTGCTGAAGTAGACTTAGTGGTTAGCATTTGGAGGGGAGGTGAGGGCTGGAGAGATAGCACCCTAACTGTAGAGATTCACTTCCCATGGAGTTTACTGGAAGCAGCCATGTGGGACCACCCTGGCCTCACCAGCTTCTTGCCTGGTCTCCTTGCTGCTGTGTTTCCCAGCCCTGCTTTAGGGTCATGGGAGACCTGACCACTCATACAACGTGAGGCGTGTCTCAACATGTGTGTGGTCCTGGGGCAAGGGGTTTGGCAGAACATTATGTGAAAAATGGATTATATATTTGTTTTTCCTTGGTACTTTTTTTTTTCCTTTTGGAGATTTTTCAGTTTGGCTCCAGGGCTTCCTTTTCAAGTTGGCAGCTTTGCTGAAGATGGTCGAGATGTGACTGAACATTTAAAAAACTTCCCATGTTCTGTTCAACACACCCCTTCACCAAACATTAATTGCAGTGTCTTTTCTTTCAGAAGCCTTGCCTAAAATTACTGATCTCCTGGGAAAACAAAGTGATCTGCTCTGAATGGAGCTTTAAAAGAGTAGACAAATTTGTTAAGATGTTGTATTTTGAGACTTGGGGCTATGGTTTAGAGACACTCTCTTTCTTTCTGGATTACCTGCCTCCCAGGGGTTAATGCAGAGGGATCGGCTAGAAAGTGGGAAAGGGTAGCCTCCCATCTTTTTTATTAAGATACTACAGGAAAGCTAAGGGAATTTATCTTTAAGAAAGCTAAATCTGAAGCTGGTTGCAGTGGCTCATGGCTATAATCCTAGCACTCCCAGGGAAGACAAGGCAGGAGGGTGGCTTGAGCTGAGGAGACTAGCCTGAGTACGAATGAGACTCTACTGAAAAATAGAAAAACTAGCAGGGCATGGTGGTGAACACCTGTAGTCCCAGCTACTCAAGAGACTGAGGCAAGAGGATCACTTGAGCCCAAGAGTTTGAGGTGGTTGTGAGCTGTGATATCTCTGTCCTGGGCAACAGAGTGAGACTCTTGTCTCAAAAAAAAGGGACGGGGGGAGGAAGGAAGGAAGGAAAGGAAGGAAGCTGAAGCTGTTTGGGACTGTTTCTGCCCTTAACCAATCTGGAAGGGTCCAGCAGCTGACAGTGATGAAGGGTGAAGGTGGGACCCAGCAGACAAAGTTAACTTTATATTTGTTGAGTACACGTGAGGACCAAAAAGGGACAGAATCCATAGTCAGGACCATCATGGCAGGGAAACTGTTTATTCTAGTTCGGTGGTTCTCAACCTGCAAAATGCCGCGACCCTTTAATACAGTTCCTGTGGGTCACGACCCACAGGTTGAGAACCACTGTTCTAGTTCAATTTAAGGGCTTTAGAGACTAGACTGTCACATTTATTTTTATGTGCAGTTAAAGTCATAGAAACGTGTTTTGCGAAACCTCAAATTTCTAAAGTAAACCAGAAGCAAGACTCTTCTTGGTTTAAAAAAACATATTTCATCTGGCAGTTTGTACATGTTTTGATTTGTATCAATAACTTTCTAATGACTATTTAAAGAACCCTGGATTTAAGAAAGATTTTCTTTTTTCAGTGTTGCTTTCAACCCCTTTCTGAAAAGTGATGGTCTCTATGTTCCTTCCTTATTTTCTTCCCACTGTCTTCAGGAGCTTGGTGTTGGTGATTTTCTTTACTACTTGAGAAAATAAATCTCTGTACGTGTGTCAGATTCTCCAGGAAGGTCAGAGAGATTTTATTTCTTGGGAGAGTGAAATAGTATTGGATAATACACTGGCATGTGGAGACTCTATTTCTGTTAAATTTATTAGATTTTAGAGGTTTATAGTTCTTGACAGTGGTTTCACCCTCACCTCCACAAGCTTAACTTCATAGTTTAGAGAGTATTTATACTTTATTTAAAAGTAAGATTAACAAGGCTGGGCACCATGGCTCACATCTATAATCCTAGCACTCTGGGAGGACGAGATGGGCAGATCACTTGAGCTCACCAGTTGGAGACCAGCCTGAGCTAGAATGAGACCCTATGTTTAAAACTAGCTGGGCATTATGGTGGTCACCTGTAGTCCCAGATACTTGGGAGGCTGACGCAAGAGAATCGCTTGAGTCCAAGAGTTTGAGGTTGCTGTCAGCAGTAACAACATGACACTTAATCTCAGAGTAACTGAGGCGCTGTCTCAAAAAAAATAAATAAATAAAAATAAAATTAACAGCAAGAAAAATATATATCAACAAACATCTTAATTAGCACTTTTGGAAATTATGTGGAGAAGGATACCATGGTTCCTAGAGCTTTCTGCATTCTGCTAATGTACAAGCCTTGGGGTCCATCCAGTCTGTCTAGACTTAAGTTCTGGCTCTGCCTCCAGACACTGTGGAAGTGGTATTTAGCATTTCTGGTCTTTGTCTCGTCTGTAGATGAAGTGCATAGTCTGAAAGTCATGGGCTTATGGAGATGGGCTGAATCTCAGTGAGGTCGGGTGAGGTGCTCAGTCAGTGCTGGATACCTCCTTGTCTTGCCTCAGTGCAGTCCTTCCATCAGATCACTTTGAACTCCAGGAGGTCTAGTAAACTTGCTTTGGCAGATGATCTCAGGCCTGAAGTCAACTGTAAATTGTCTGCTCAACTATCTATAAATATATATCCATTTGCAGCTTTTTATTGTTTGTTTGTTTTGAGACGGGGTTTCCTCTGTCACCCATAGCTCTCTGCAGCCTTGAATTCCTGGGCTCAGGCTATCCTCCTGCCTCTGTCCCCAGAGTAGCTGGGACTATATGCATGTACCACCCATCTGGCTGATTTTAAGTTTTTTTTGTAGAGATGGGGTCTTGTTATGCTGCTCAGCCCAATCTTGAACTCCAGGTCTCATGTGATCTTCCTACCTTGACTTCTCAAAGTGCTGGCCATGCCTGGCCTACATTTATTTATTTTTAAATTCTTGACTAACTTTCTTCAGTCACATTATTAAACAAACTACATACATCTTGTTGTTTCCACAAATTCTGTAGGTAGGTGATTATTTAGCAAGCATTATGTTTACTGTGTGCCAAATGTTTTAAGCGCTTCGAAATACTAACTCACTTAGTTTGCATCATAACTTTATGAGGGTGAAAAAGGCAGATACTGTCATATGCTCCCGTCTTACAGCCAATGCAATTGAGGCATAGAGAGGTTAAATTATGTCCCCAGGGTCACACAGACGTATGTGTGGCTCATATTAGACAGTCTCATCCAGAGACCGTCCCTAACCTCTGCTCTTAGGATGAGCTGAGATCCCATCTCTATGGCTGGCCTCCAAGCACCTTACCTGAGACACAACACCATGCTGCACCTTTTCAAGAGAGTTCTCATTTCAAATTCTTCTGTAAAATGATCTCTTTCTATCTTTAGTTCAAAATCAAAAATAAACCATACCTCTTTGTTTTTTTCTAGCTTTGATAAATGACCTTTCCCCATCACTTGTGGAGTGCTGGGGAGCTAGAACCTATTGTTCTCATTATGCATCCACTGATCAGGGTTTCTTGGCTTTCCCAGGCTGCAGCACAGCCATATGAAGATGAAAGGAGACAATGCATGGGAAAAATGCGGCCACAGTTGCTGCTCTTTGGGATCGGCTTCACTGCACTCTGCATTCT